GTACTCCAGGTGAGGTCTCACCAGAGCTGAGTAGAGGGGCAGAATCACCTCCCTCGACCTGCTAGCCACGCTTCTCATGAAAAGATGGGATTGACCCAGTTATATTTTGACCAAAACATCCTCTAATAAAGAACAATTTATCCAGCATCAAAAGCAAGTATCTCCTAGTTATTTTTGGCTACATAACTTTCATTTAAATGGCTATGCATTTTATTTAAATCACAGGATTATAGAAAAATACTTTTCAAAAAAACAGACCCATCCCGTGACACACTTCAAAATAAAACCTGTAAAGACAGGTTTGCTGTCTGTTTTCTTCTTATTATTCACCATTTCTGGTGGGAGGCAAAACCAGCAAAAGCAGCAAACCCAGCAGTTCTCACTAGCAATCCATGTGTAGTCCATGGCAGCTGCATTTAACCTTCCTAGACCTGTTCTGTCCAGGAACTTCTCAGGAAGTTTAGCATCGCTTGTAGACAAGGATCTCTAATTAAAAAAATACCTTTCTGCCAATGTGCTTACCCTCCTCCCCCCTCCATTACAGGACCATAATGGATTTGGAGCAGAAGTAAAAGCGCTAAATGCTAATCCCAACCTAGGCATTATGACAAACCGCAAGACTACGGCATTAGTACAGGCTTAGCAACAGATTATGTAATACAAAGGATTTAAAAAGCAATATTCAAGCAATATGAGCTTGTACAGGGATGAGTTCCAGGGAGGACTGTGTCTCCAGTTACTACTTTGAGTAGCAGAGATCTGCCTGTTGGTCCTATCAAGGCCATCACACAGAGGGAATGGTGAGTGAAGAATGAGAAGTCAGAAGACACATGACAAAATCCTCCCACAGAAGGACTTAATGCCTGCCATTCTCAATTAATGGTGAGGTTTCAGTTGTCAGGATACTAATTTCAGGAAGCAGATGCTAAACCTTCCCCAAATTATCAGGCTCCAGTCTAAGCGTCAACCATTTTCCAAATGTCTGTTTTGGGCTTGTTACGTCTGGAGAACAACACAGGGCGCCTATACAGACTTGTATCTAGCTCATATAGCCGCTGGTGACAACTAAACAATCTTTCTCTATCTTTGACTGCCCCTGGTGAGTGCCTCCCCTCTCCACATTACCGTGATTGCTCAAACGTGGTGCTGAGATTCATCGAAAGCAGCTTATCCAGGGAAGTTAAACGAAAGGTTCTGGCAGAGCCAAAAGAGGTTTGGGTTGGTTTTTTTTTTTTTTGGTTTTTTTTTTTTTTTCTACTGAAAAGCAAAACCAGGCTTCGTGGCTCGATCAAAATGTAACTCATTGTCACATAAGAAAAATAGATTAAAAAAAAAAATCAACTTTTGTGTCACTTTCTAAAGAGGAACATTTTAAGCTGTATTATAGTCTCCCACGGGAGACTGTGAACATCGGTTGTTTCAACAGAGACGGCACTGGACATGCCGCAGGGTTATGCATACTTTAAAAAGCTTGAAAAGTATTTTTAACATAACACAATAAAATCCAGAGAAAAAGCATGCCTGCGTTAAAACAGCAGTATTTTTCTTTTACCTTTCTCTCAGTTCCATTCAAAAATATCCTTTCAATGTGATCATAATAGGCGTCACACCAGTACAATACATTGGCATGATAGTCCAGAGTTAAACCATTTGGCCATAGCATCTTTGATGTTACAAAAATCTGCCGACTGTAGCCATCCATCCATGCCTTCTCAATTCTTCCCACACTGTCATCTATTTCATCTTCTTCCCAGTCTGTCCAATACATCCAGCTATGAAATTATAAAAATGAACATTCAGATACCATTTTAATCATCTGAATTATACTGTAGGCGTTTAGCAGACATTCGCAACAGCATACAAGCCAGAGTGATTTTGACTTTTGCATGTCTCATTCCACTGCTACTTCTACAACTATATTTACTTTCCCTGTGGACTGGATAGTGCTGAAATGCCCCTTAGGGAGTTTTGCTCATATCATAATGAATAGCATGGATACCAAATGGGCTAACTGACATGAGAAGGGAAAGAATTGTTTAAGACCTTACTTAATCACACCAGAGTTATGATTTTTTTTTTAAAACCAGCAATTTTATTGCCTTTGTCACATAGCTCAAACTTTTACTGTTTTGGTTTTTTGGTTTTTCTTTGGCAGGGGGTGTCACCAAGTCTAATTTGCTTTTCTGATGCAAATCTGCTTTTTATGATGCTTAATACTATCAAAAAAGCTGCAATATGGGAATTAATTGCACTCTAGTTTAATAGCTACAGGATAACCTTGACATTCTGTGACCTTCACATTCCACATGAAAGCAGCTAAATTACTCAAAAAACTATTATGAGCACTCTGTCCCTCAGAAAAAATGTTTAGAAAGATAGATGGCTATAAAAAATATTTGAAAAATAGCTGGTAGGCAATTTTAGCATAGTTTTATGGCTTGTAGTGCAGCAATGTGAATAACCAAAACAACTTTGAAAAATAAGTACCTATGCTACTTTGGAAAAAATAAGCAAGCATTGTCATAAGTCATCTAAAAGTATTAGCTCAGATGAGTTCTCCCAGTCATCCTCTACTGGACACTACAGAACACACCCTACGTTTCTTTCTTTTTTCCCTTTCCTTATTGAATTAAACTGATTATCATATTTGATTACAGAATTTGCTGGTAATAACTCCGATTTCAACAGTTTAAAATACACATCTTGAACTTACACAAGAGCAGAGGGTAGCAAATATGCTAAGAAACACCACCTTTCTCTTTTTTCTTACTTCCCCTCCCCCCCAAAAGGAAAAACAGGTTCATGGAAAGAAACACATAGAAGCCCGAGTGTAATCTATGAAGCGGCTAAACAGCGTTTCAGATCATATGACACACAGTGACATCAATGTACTGAAAACATTTACCAGATAGTAGACATTGACTTTTAAAGTCAAATCTAGGATTTCAATTATTAAGCATTAAATAGAGGAAAAACATGATACGGATCTTAAATGGATCCTACTTGATAAAGTTGTCATGATTTAATTGGATTTATGTGCCTCACCTTTGATTTCACCAAATTTATGTTTCTGAAATTCTACAAATTTCTCAAATACCTTCTGTGATGCTAACCTACTTAACCTGTCCGTACTTTGAAGAATAAAGTCCTGAAATCTGAATTCTGAATTTACAAAGGAATGAAACACTGAAATGTAAAACAGTTTTGTTATTAAACATGTGTAAATCATGCCAAATCTACTGGTCAAAAAATTTATTCGAACATGCTTTTATGTATAAGCATGATTGGATCTATTAGTTTTTTTATATAATAAATGGGAAAAGAGAAAAGAAAAAAATTGCACCGTCATTACACAGGTTTACAGATCTACAAATGTATCTTTTTTGTTTCTTTTCTGTCTCTTGCAAGTCACCCATCAGCAGGTTGTTTTGGGTTCGTTTAATTTTTTGGTAAATATACACTAAGAACATAAACCAATTTTTATCCATGAGGCTTACAAAGTTCATTGCATGTTTGCCTCAAACAACACTAGGTTTACTCACAGAATGATAAAACATGCATATGCCCTAAAGCTCAGGCAGAGATGCAGGTCAGTATGGTAGTTATTTTATTGGAAGACAAAATATGTTTTATAAATATTTACATGACTGCTCAACAGCAATTACTGAGCTTTTCTCCATTAACTTTTCGTCTGTACTTATTCTAGTTATCATGTCATAAGCTAGAACATGCTTACAGTAACAGACATTTACATTAATGTGCTTTAATTGTATCTCAAAATGCAGTTAATGCTTCCATATTGGTTAAATCAAGACTAATATTTTCTAAACATAATTAAAATGCCATAATAAGTGCTATCCCTCAGGAAAAGCTTCCATGAGAAATGTAATCACGAAAGGCATGCTATTTTATTAGAAAAGGGTTTTATATAACAGCCCTTTTCAGACAATACATCTTCATACACTATTTCCTGCGCCACACATTTACGGAGCTGAAAAACTTAACAGCGTAATTGTAGGTTTGGTTATGGCTTGTGGTCTGATTGTACATCCTTACTATCTGACCTTAATTAATTGTAGTCTTTCCACAGTCACTTCCATTCCTCAAAGGACAAGCTCAAAAGTGAAAACCGGAGAGTGTAAATACATTCTAGTACTAGGAAAACAGCGATCCATCCAGCCACACTAGAATTACCTGCCTACATCATTCCCCAGTGACAATTCCCTGAATAAATGTAACTGTGAATTTTTAGGTAAACCACACTAATATAATAGTCTGTCTATTATGCAGCCTATCACAATTAATTATGCTAGTAAGTAATGAAAAGTACCTGTCTCATTTAGTTTTGTAAACCAATGTGTGCAAGGATATGGTTATAATTACCTCAGAAATTGAGACTTACAAAGAGAGAAATAGAGGAGAGTATTATCAAGTTCACTTAGTATTAAAAATACATACAGGTCCGATACACTCAATTTGTTTGAGAAAAAGGTGAATCACATTCAAATTAACTTGACATAGGTTCAACCAGGTTTGGGCACACGTATTCTTCTGAAGACTTCAGGCAAGAATGCTGGACAGGAATTACAGATATTATAGACTCCCGTAGAATTACAGACTCCACAAATCCCATCCTAAGCAAAGTTCAATCCTGTACTTATACTATAAAGACATGCATTAAACAACATAAATTAGTCTACTTCATACCCATTGACAGGATCAACAACAATTCCTCTAGGGTGGGACATGTCTCCCTCCAACAAAGTTTTTCTACTCTGAGCGGCTTTTTCCAGTCTTGCTACGGCAATCGTTTTCCTGTGGCCATCGTTTGTCCAATAAAGATTATTTCCAATCCAGTCCACTGCTATGCCTTCTACATTATCAAGATCTGTTGAGAGAGAGAAGACAGTAACAAGACATTAATACTATATTATATACTATAGCATATATCATATGCTATATATGTTTTTGTTCTATTATTATCCATTGGTATAAGCAATGGACAATACATGGCCCATAGAGATAAATTAGATTATTTCCTTGAATCTGAATTATATTTGCTGTGTCTGTCAGAATTAGTCTTTGCTGAAAACATCCTACAAAAGACAGACTGGTTATAAAACTTGTGCATTAAACCATAAGCCTTCATGTGTTAACTATAGCTGGCCCTGGGCAAGTCACTATTGAACAAAACCCTATTTAATTTTGACCCTAAATAGCAGTATCACTCAAGCCAAGAACAGCTTCCAGGATCAGCTCTAGTACTCTAAATTATCTTGCTTTTACCAAAATCACAAATCTCATTCTCATTAAATAATAAGCAAAATGGGCATTCAATTTACATTTGTTCCATTGTCCTTTGACCTTGCAAAACATGTAAGCAAGAACATCACAACATTCCAAGTTATTCTCCACAGCAAAGTGAATGAGAACAGTATTAAGATAGTAGGCAATACATGAGCAGAGAGTAATGCCACCACTGGATGTACCAACAGGCTCATGAGTTTGACAGCAGAAGGGCTCCATCCAGAACCAAAGAGTCAACAGTGTTCGTTCCATACGAAGGTTTCCCCATTGGAGAAGTATTAAAACAATTCCCCAAGCACCAAGTTTTTCCCTCAAGCTTATCTAACAGCCCATAACATTAACAGAGCTCTGCCCTCTCCCACATGATCCCAATTCCTTAACTGACAGCATAAGGTCTCTAAAAGAGTTTCCATCTCTCTTCCCCTTTTCCTTCAGAAAGATCTCAAAGTCCAAGTGCATGGGGTGGGATATGGAGAATTTCCAGTCATTCTTTCCTGGCCTTTGTAGCATTGTGAAAGTTGAGGCACTACCCGACTTTAGCCATCGCCCTTTGCCACGCAGCTGATCTTACAGCAGCCTTCCCGGGGCAGTCAGTCCTCCTCTACAGGATGAGTCCACCATTTCCTCAGAGGTGGCTGGGACCCATCCTGACCAGCTGGGGCCATTGGTGGCCAAAACACAGCACCCAGCAGTGGTACCTGACAGAGGGCCGAGGGGTGGGTTACCAGCTGCCGCCTCCCACTGCCTTCCTACAGCTGAGGAAGTTTTTTTGTTCTATTATCCTTTCTGAGGTCAAACTTGGGGTGGAAACACTCATTTTCCTGTTACCTCATTTGGCGTCTTGTCACAGATAGCCAGTGTATGCACTGGGATTAAAAAAGATAATGGGGTAATATGGTAATATCTGACTCCGGTGTTTCCACCGAGCCTGAGAATTCACAGCATCAAATTGTGCCTCCCTTTGCTGTGATAAAAATGAAGGTTGGTGGGGCTGAAAAGGTGGAAATAAAAAAAAAAAAAAAAATAAAACCACAAACCAAAACAAGCAAAAAACCACACTAAAAAAACCCCTTCCTTACTACGATGCCTCTTGACAATCTGGATTGTATTACCTGTTTGTCATACTCAGATATACAATCCTACAGTACAATTTCAAGAGTGGAATCATCAAGACTTGAAAAAAGGAATACAGATTGCTTTTTTTGTTCACATTTACACCAGTAATGCCATCTAGACCCAAGCTTTCATGAGATTCATTCTTTCTCACCAGCGTTGACGTCCCTTGCTGATCAATATCAGAGTTTTTTGAAAGATTTTCTCAGAACAAACATGATGCAGGGAGATTTTTATCACAATGTACATAAAAAAAAAATCATGCATTACCATTTTTTAAGAAATGCTGATATGACCAATTCACTGATCCTACTTAAACCCTGCTTACACCAGATCCACACATGAAAATCTGCTAAAGAAAACTGTTTATTATTTGAATTCTGCTGCCAGATATATGTGATTTAATTGTCAGCTTTCCAGACAACAACTTCACATGAACTCCTGAAGTGCTGGTTTGGGACATCTCAAGTTGTTATCAGAGCCACTTTTACAGCAGCAGCATTGTGCAGTGGTGCTGTGTTGCCGTCGTCTAAACCGTCCCTCGGATTTCTCCACCAAGATGCCTCCACGCAACACAATCAGTAAGTATTAATGGGAAGCTCTTACTTGCTAATGATCATAACTTCAGTGTACCTATGAATGTTTAGCAACCCATCAGATTTCTTTTCCTTAGGATAAACTCTTCACCTGTAATATTTTTTAGACCCCAAACACCTTTACTGACTATGACTCCAACAATCTAATTCCCTACAAGAATCCAGTCAAATTCTTTGTGATGGACAGGAATGCAAAGCTCTCTTACGAAGTCACATTCTATGTAACTTATTTAGCGCAGTACAGAAAACTTTCTGCTTACTGTGACCCCTAGATAACATGGTATGTCATCAACAATACACCAAGATAAAATATGACAGTTTTACACAATAAATGAAATATTGGGCTTTTTTATACACTTGGACGCAATAACAGCATCTATAAAAGGCACTGTTACAATCTCAGTAGCATCGCAGCATGAGAAATTACTTCACAGCTTTCTTTCTTGAACAATGTTTTTTAGTGATTGCAATACCACCATATTCCCTATCAAGTTGGCAGAGCCATAATGTTTTCAAACTTCTTGGCATTGCAAAATGTTTCATTTTTTTGTTCATTTTATATTTTCCTTTTTTAAAAAAAGCAAAACTCATTTAAATCTAACATTGAAGTATATTCAGATTATGATATAAACTTGCACTGTATACGAAAATAGAAAACCAACAAGGATCCCCTTACTAAAAGGGATAGCTCAGTATTCTTCCAATGTTTAAAATTCGAAAATTAAATTAAGCTGGTGGCTACTCAAAGTCATAGCATGGCAGCTATGTTGTATTTTTAAAACTGCTTTTTTTCCCTTATCAGTATCCTCTGTCTGGGCAGAATGGCAGTAGACAAACAGCATAGATAAATAAAGATAAATATGGAAATGAGATTTTTTTTTTTAACATGAAAGAAATTTTTGTCAATAACATAGAATTACGTATGAAAGGAATTAAGAAATAAGTTCATTTGTCTTGAAGAAGTTAACAAGGTCTAGAGTAGTTCAGGATTCAAACTGGAGGTTCTCTCTAGCTTTAATGCTGGCCATGATTCCAACTGTGTATTCATCCTATCCCATGCATATTGATTATGCTAAACTAAACACTCGGGGAGATGTATGTTCATAATGTATTTTAGGCTTGCTAGATTTTGTTTGTTGTTTCTTTAATTTAACCCTTGAACTGCAAAGTACAACCTGCCTGTGAGATGCAATATGGGAAAGTTATGGAGGGGGGGAAAAAAAAAAAAATAAATGGCATATACTGAGTGGTTTTCCAAAAGGCATTTAACTTTTTTAACTGTATTTCTGATACACCTAAGTATCACTATACTTTTGGGGAACTATTTTTCCTTGTGATCTAAAATGCTTGAAGGAAGCAACGGTGTCAAAATTCAGTCTCCAGATGGAGGATATAAATCTACGGTATGACGACATACCTAACCCAACAACCACCTACTCTGACAAGAATCACCCAAGTCAAAGGACGCAACAACCGTGGGTGAGTCAGAGCTCACCCAGGTTTCCCAGGCTGGTGGACGCTGTCAGTTGTTATTTGTTGTCCCTCGGTGCCTTTGCTACATTCTTTTAAAGAGGCAATGTCAGAGTCAGATGGAACCCTCTGGAAGTGGGAGAGTGACCTGTGGTCTTGGAGCAATCAAGTATGTTGAGAAAAAGAGAAGTGCGAAGTGTGGTAGGGAAAAGAAGAGAGCATCTCATGAAGGGCCTTGGAGCCCAGGGCTCACAGAGAAAGACTGCGGAAAAGAACAGGCAACAAAGATGAGCTTCAGGAGTAAAAGAAAAGTCCTTTAGGGCTCAGAGGGGTCTCCGCCGCTTTTGTTCAACTCAAGGAAACACTGATGTAACCAAAATCAAGCTTGAGGACAAGAAATTATTTGTTCAAAACCTATTTTATTTTTATCCTGACCTAGACATTTTGGGTTAAATACATATCTTTATATGAATAAGATCAGCTTTTTAATGAAAACGTTGGGCTTTTTTTCTTCTGTGGGAGACAAAACAGTCCAAATATGGACTGTACTATTATTAACAGCAAAGCTAAATATTAAATTAGGATGCTAGATACCTCCTGAGATTTACAGTCATTCGAGTCTATTTAGTTTCACGTAACAGCTACTGTATCTGAGCTCCCATGCCTTCTGCAGTCATTTTGGAGCATCTACATTTCTAGACCAAATACAATCGAAGTTAAAAAAAAAAAAAAAAAAAACAACAAAACCCTCATGGTAATTAGATATTAGATATATCAGAAAATTTTAAAATAAATGAGAATTCTACAGCACAATCCTATATAGATGCTTCACATTCTTTTTGTAAAGTTATGGTTTAAAATTCACTTCTATTTAACTATCTAAAAGCTTTAAATACCTTACTTTTTAGGTGGGCTTCATATCAAGTAGCAAAGAGGAACAAAATAATGGCCATTCTGGTTAAATAAAATTAGTTTGACTAAAGTAAGCCAGGCTTTCTGCAGTGAAGCCCTTTCAACATAAAAAGAATGAAGTGAATAAAATACTATTTTGATAGTTGTTCACTTGATAACTGAAAAATTAACATTTGTAATTCTGGAAATTTTAAAATCAAGAGTAGTATGTGGGCTCCAAAGACACTGAATATAGATAAAAGATTTTTAAAAAACTCATATAGGCAACAACTTGCCACATTGATTTTATATATGCAAGAGAGTATAAGTGCAGTGTGTAATTTGGTACCGAATGGCCTAGCTCATCAATGGCAGTTAGATCGTGTACAATAATAGTGCCTAAAATATTTCAGATTAACATAAAAACTGGTGAAAAAAAAAATTCTTCTGTACACCAGCCAGCTAAACATCTCCCAAAAAACTTTACAGACTTACTTTTGTCTTGTGTAAGCAAAAAGTTAGCCCTTGACCTTCCTTCCTAATATTTACAATGAATAATGTAACACTTCGAGGCTCAAAGCAAACCCAAACAACATGAGGAGGACAAAGATAAGTAAAAAAAAAACCTTGAGTTTGTGATTATGTTGCTTGAACTGAACAATATTTAAATCCCCTTTAAAATAGCTGGTTTGTTCTATTTTTTTTTTTTTTATTTTAAAACCCCCCTGATTTCACATGCAAGATTGAAACCTTAATTACAGCAATTTCTGTTGCTGCTGAAAGTACACTACTACTGCAGTTGTGCTGCCAACTCTAGGGTAGGCCATGCTGTGGGCTGTCAAATAGTTATCAATACTACACAGCAGTTTGTTTCCCAAAGTGAAGAATAAGAAATCACAGCTGAAACTGTATGGGAAATCAAACTCCAGCAGCGTTAGGTGCTCAGCATCCTCAATTCCCAGTCAACAGCTTGCAGGATCAGGCTCTCATGTAGGCAAACTGTAATTATCCGAGTTACAGTGTTGTTTGAGCTAGCATATCTGTTCTTGCAAAACCTGATAGTCACAAAAAATGACAACTTCTAATCTGAGAAGTGACACCTACCACAGACAGAGTTCCTTAGCAGCATGCTGTTCACAGCGAATATTAAACCACCTCCTGACACACCTGATTTTCTCTAGTAGCCTTCCACCAAGGAATGATTTAATCTGTCCCTGCTGAGTTCTTGAGAGCCGACAAGAATAAAAGCTGAGGTGGTATGGCTGGAGGCCATATTAATTTTTTAAATCATGAAAAATACATTAACAAGTGTTCTTTAAGCATAGTTTAAAGTTATGAAACTATACCAAGTTCTAACTAACAATTTAAGCTCCTGGGGAAGGAGTGGGGGGAGAATATCTGTGACATTTTTCTGGGTTTTGTAAGTATTAGGACCACCACCAATATATCATCAGATAATCCATAACTCGTTTGGTATTGCATTGGTATTTTTGCTATATTGTACTTATAAAAAGTAGAAATTCCAGTTAAAATTTATTTAAATTAGTCTCTTCGATTTGCTGGTTTGGTATACAAAGTTTATTCATGTTTGCATGTTTGATTAGAGTAACCTCAACCTGTTTGACACCTTTCAGCAAGGATGCTCCTTGGTGTTGCCTTATATGTTTAAATCTACATACTGTCTGCTCCTTCATCCAGTCCACATTGGCTTACTTGGTTGTAAAATTAAATGCGTGGTGTTTAGTAAAAGAAAGTCAGCGATGGAAGTTCTGTGATGTATATTACCCACTTCCATATTCACAGTGAAATGAAGAATTACCAGACTGACAGCTGAGTATTCACTATTTACTCAGACAGCTGCCTTTCATTAAGCCATCACCCATATAGGGTAGAGCATCATCCACTCCTTGCAACCACTGCTGAAGGGGTCTTCGTGCAGGCTCTGAGGGCTGCAGAGAGACCTTATACCAAAACAGCACCATATCGATGAGAACTGGAGATAACTTCTGAGATGGGTGGATTAAAACACGGGTTATGAATGACAGGCAATGAAAATCCCTGTGCTAAAACAATGGTATTTTAGTTACTTTCAGTCTCAAGCTTCAATTTACAAGTAGAGATATTAAACTCTCCAAAGGCCAACATAAATGTTCACACTGTTCATATTTTCTTGAGTACTACGAAATAATTGCTGTAGAATGGATTTCAACCAAGGTAGCTGTCACCTCCCGCTGAAGCGGTCTTTCATGAACAGGGTCCATGAAACAAAAAGAAATATAGGTTGACAAACTGGAGGGTTTATCACTGAAACAGCATTTAGTATGATGAGATATCATTTTAGACCATGGAGATCCTGTGAAATGTGGTGGGAGAGGTGGAAACTGGAGAACGGCTGGTATTTTCTCTCATTGCTATAATAAAGGGTACAGACATCTTAATGAAGGTTCTAGAAAATGTTTAGGTCTTCCTGTTGCTTCCACATATACAACAGAAAATGCATCAGGGAAGACAATGCTTTTTTTTTTTTTTTTTCCTAGTGAGTTTGTAAGCACTACAGGAGGTCTCACTCTGCCAAACTACTTGAATAAGCTCCAGAATCCGCACTGTAGCACAGGTTGGAGTGAAGAAGTCTTATGAAGTCCACAAGCATAGGGGATGGCTCAGTGAATGATTGCAAAGAACCACATTATGGATCCACTGTATCTCACTACTGAAAGAATACAGTGGACGCGTAGGAGTTACTTACTGGCAGGTATCAGCTTAAATGGGCAAAGTAAGAATTCAAAACAGAGCAACTTAACCAAACTTTGCATTTCTGAACTCAGGAAAAATAGACAGGAAGTTGTAAAAAAGAAATATTTCCATCCCTGTCTCGTTTGGGTCTGTTTTCCGTGGGAGACTTAAATAAAGTTTGAAGTTATCTGTAAACGTCAGTTCAACTCCTCCTTAGTGAGATTCTCCAAATGTCACCATCAGTTAGCATTACCTACCATCTTTGAGGATTGTTTCTCGCTCTGTGCCATCAATTTTCTGTCGTCCAATTAGGAAACTAGTAGTATCAGCAAAATAAATGTAATTGGTTTCGGCATGGAAGTCCAGAGCACGAGGATTGACCAGGTTTTCTATAGGGATCATGTATTCATCCGATACTTTGGTATTCAGGTCCATTCCCCGTATTATTCCTGGGCGTCCCTTCCCATAAAAAAGAAACAATTCATTCTTTGGTCCTGCAAAAGAAAGATTACAAACATAAACAACTGACGCTGCCTAATCTTCTTCACAGTGCATAATGTCACTGTTTAATTAACTGGCACAATTAGTGGGGGAGCAGGAGCGGTATTCAATACCAAAAATTAAACTTTCATATATTCCGAAGGTATCTGAACTCAAGAAATCTAGCTAATTACATTACCTTAATTAAAATACAAATTACTTCAATGAGCTGCTTACATCCAATTATTTTTTTCTATAAAAGTTCACACTGAAAAGTAATGCTAGATCACAGAATAACTTTGCATCTGCTGTGCAATGGACATATATAGTGTTGTAGACATTTGATGTTACAATTCATTAGGATCTATCAGGGTAATGTAGACCGTGACTGAAGTAATCATTAAATCTAACAAGACCATAAACTCCAGCAAATACAAACCACCACTTTTTTCACTGGAAGTTTCTCAGAAACAAACAAGACAAAAGATTACCGTAAATTTCCTTCAAACGGGAAGGAATACAACAAATCACACACTGTTCGTTCATACCGAGACACAAAACATGGATACCAATGTATCCTACTTTGAGGGGATTTTTACAATCTAATCAAGTAGGTTAATTACAAATAACTGAAGCTTCGTAAGGTGATTTTCTTTCCTTAATGATACTTATAAATATCCTTAGAACCTCAGTACTATCAATATACCTCTTAATATTCTCTAAGATACATACTTTTCCAAATGCCTTTCAGGGTTTTTTGTTGGAATTGTTAGTGGAAACCATATGAGGTTTGACTAAGGTCAAATATACCCATCTACCAGCATCCACCAAAGTATCCAATCGCATGCCTTTCATTTGAACTAAATCAATGCCATTTGATCAAGAAACCAGGCAAAACATAGGTATTCCCCACAACCTGCAGGACTGTCCTGTTGGCTGTAGGTGACCAACAGATTGCGTATACCTAACGTTAGATATAATCATAGTTACACACATCAAACTTGCTTTCACAGACCAGTATGAGAGATACTTTGTTTGACTTATTCACATGAATGATCTGCTGCTGAGTTACAAGTTGACTGTATGGGTAGAAATTGGGTGTGACAAACTAACAGCATTTCAGTACCTACGTGCTGCGAGAATGCATAGCATATCAAGAAAGCGTAAGACTGATTAACTTAAAACCTGTGATAATTTTTAGAATTCTTTAAAGAGCATCCCAGGTTTAATTTGTCACTTCTATGAACCAAGCCAAATCAAATCATTTTAAGGGAATGGAAGGAGTATATGGACAAAGCGTCAGGTACATGTTGCAAACAAATTTCACCCAAAACTGGCCCATGTGATTTCTGTGGTTATCAATAAGCATTTTAAATAACACCCAGAAATATACCCTGAAATATTAGTGGCTGGCAGACTCTTTGATTTAAATAACGTACGTTTGCATGACCTGCCGTCACTTCCCAAGATGAAGCCAGTCCTGCAGCGACAAGTCCGTGCTTTGTAGTTGCTGCTGAGCAGACAGATGTGTGAACATCCCCCCGGCATTCCATATGGGTCCACTTCACACGCATGGCTGCGGACTATGGCGAGTGAAAAACAGCACAATCAAAATCCATTTAAAGCAAGATAATTACATGCGTCAGCATGTAGAAAGTTTAGGCAGGGAAAAAAAGGGAATTTGTGTCACAATAAATCTTTCCCCATAATATATCTAGAAATGAAGGTGATTTTTAAGATGATACCCAAGACATACCCAAGATCTTGTGGCTACCAAACCACACCCTGCAGCGTTGTACGTGACCACCCCTTTTTGAATAAGCTTCTGCACAACATTCCCCAGGCAGCACTCCCCTGGGATAGCCGACGCTTTTCCCCATTTTTCTACGTTGCTTTGGTTCATTTGGTTGGTTGGTTGGCTTTTGGGGAACAGAGTGAACCCCACGCCAACACAGTTTGCTATTCATTCAACTCCCTTAGACAGCACCTTTCAGGGGCAGATACCTGTGCAGAAGCTAAAGAACAGAACGAGCCTCGTAGCATTTTTCCATATTTGTACAGTCAGGACTCAAATCCAGATGAAGAAGCCAAAGAATTCCTTTCCCTTGACTTTATGTTTTCAAATGCATGGCTCTAAATTAGCAGACTAATATATCAAATTAATTTTTTAAACTCTTTAAGGTAAATCCAATGAGAAAAAAAAATCTTTCTATCCTACATTTCCTAAGCTGGCTTACAACAGGCCAACACTATTTTAGCAAAACATGTTTTTCTCTTCTCTCTCCTTTCCCTCAAGCTTTTTAGTTATTTTTTTTAAAAAAAGTAATCAAGTGGTTTACAGTCCATATTGTTAAAGGTATACCGAAAGTCTACCAAGCTGAGACAGCCTTTACAGCAGATCTTGACAAGCAACAACCATGTCCGTTCAAAACAAACGAAGTAGCAGAGTGAAAAAAAGGGCCAGAGGAACGGAGTAATCACAGGATGTAATAAAAGATTACACTGTGCTCATGCCTCTCCTCTCGACTCCCTCAGGGGTACAAGAGGGGGGCCTACAGCATGGAGAGAGGCTTTGCAGCCTCCTTCAGGCACTGACATCTGCAGATCAATGCCCTCAGCTATAGGGTGAAAATTAGTTCACCCCGTCTACGTCAATTTAGAGTTTGTTACCACTTTAGAAACTTCTCTTAAAAGCAGTCAGCCTGTTTCAGAATATTGATGTTGATCACCAGGATTGATGTGTTAGCTTTTCTGTCCAAGCAGTCATGGCAAGCATTTATTGCTATCAGTCATATAAAAAAAAAATTCTCGTGAAGTATCCCTGTAAACATTTTGCATCTTGCTGTCTTTGCACAAAGTTCCCACACATCACGCTGCTGTTCTGAATGCAGAAAGCGTGCAAACAGAGCCAAGGTTAAGAGTCATACAGGACTATGGACCTCAGAAATTGCTATTTTACCAAAATTTCTGAGATGACTTTTTTCATTTTAGATGGAAAGATTTCTTTCACAAAAGTCAAAGATGATATTTACACAAATGGAGGAAAACTTACCGGCGGTTCCCTATCTGGCCAGTGGCTGAGCTGGCAGCTCAGCAGGCCAGCGGCCCACACCTCCACGTTATCTCGGCAATCCCAAAGACAGGGTCTCTCTTGAAGTTCGTAGTCTCTTTTTAAAGCAAGCCCAGAGAAATCAGGAATCTCTGAGGCCTGCGAGCCAAGCATGTGGATGGTATTGGATATCTAACAATTCTGAAGGTGTTGAATTCTGAAAGCATAAATGTGTGGAGCCAGAAAACTTGCTCTTTGGTGGTTCTCCAAGCTGAGTGCTCAGGAAGCGGTTGTGTTAGGAGCTCAGAGACGCAGGAAAACTGGCAGTAAGCACACAGAAAACTGGGCAGATGAAGAATCACAGAATTATAGAAACTTTTAGGTTGGAAAAGCCCTTTAAGATCATCAAGCCCAACTGTTCCCCTAACCCTACCATTCCACCACTAAACCATGTCCCTAAGCACCTCGTCTGCCCGGCTTTTAAATCCCCCCAGGGATAGGGACTCAACCCCTTCCCTGGGCAGCCCCTTCCAGTGCTTGAGAAGCAAGAGAGTTTTGCCACACTGACAAATTTTCCCTGCATCTTCTGATATATTTTTTCTGGAAGAACATTTTAATTACCCATCCACCTAATATCTAGTTTTATTTTTCCTAGAAAGAGGAATTGTGATCTTACCTGCTGTTTGAGTTCTTTTCTGGTATACGCGGATCTCTCTAGCGTTGTCAACTCTAGCAAGAGACTGAACATCAGTGCCATTATATCTGTTGATCTGTAAAATGTTGAGGTTATCTGAATTAACTGTGTATAAATAGTTTTCAAATACTGCCAAACCACAAAGACGCCTAATCTGGAAAAGAAAAGGAGAAAAAAAAAAAAGATACAACTATTTTAGCTGAACGCTTTAGGTGCATCTATGATTTGTAAACATCAAACATTACTGTGAATTGTACATGCTAAACCATACTAAATGATTTGAGTATATCGACAAATATTTGGAAATAATAAACACAAACTATGCTACCAGTATAGTTCACGTTCTTGTAGTCCAAAGCTTATAATTAGAAAAGCTTTGTACAAGGTAGAAAATTCAAAATATTTAGCAATCCAAATCAATGTATCTTCTGCATTTCCCAGTTTCTCTTTTACATTAAAAACTCCTGCATACTTTAAGAGCAACAGCTTATTTTAGTATTCACTAATATTAATTAACTAATAATAACTAAGTTAACTACTATTACTAGCATTAACTAATAAATATAGTTAATATAGATATTTAAAACAGTTTATTGGTTGAATTGATGTATTTTTTATTATGTTCTAATCACAGCAAGGCAAATGGTACAAGATATACCTACTGAGTATTTTCTTAAGTGAGTAAATGAATAAATAATGAAACTTCCTCAGCTATGCTTGCATTCCTTTTGTGTTGGTGTCTTTGAATATGCTTGCTTCTCAAAAAGCACATTCTAAAATTCTATCAATCTGCAATGCGTCTTGATGCACTGATTAAAAATTACCTAACATTAGTGAGTTAGCCAATCACAGCTCAAACATGAAGCAGTTACGGTTGGTTTACAGATTTAGAAAACGTAAAGTATCTCATTGACAATTTTGAAAGCTGAACAAATTATCTTTAATTTGTTGGCAGATATTCACAGGCTGACTACCTTAGTTTAATCAATAAATTGTTCACCATAAAGTATTTACTTAGCTCATTTACTCACAAATTCAGACATACATCACAAACACACCACCACCACCACCCCCAAACACACCCACACCCCCACTGTGAATCAAATACTTCAGTCCTTTCTGGAAATTACTCCCCCAGGTGGCCAAATCTTGCTATTGTATTCCACCCTTACCCAGGGGGAAGGGGGGAAGTTGAGATCAATGGAAGTGTTTGATTAAGACCCAACAGAAATTCAGTCCACTTATAGTAAGATGGAGAAGGAAAACAGCCTGGAAAAATAATGATGCATCTGTACCAGATTGTTGAATTCCCCCTGCATTATAATCCTCTCCTCCCCATTTCCATTTGCATTCAGTTTAAAGCTTTATTTTATTTAACTCCCAGGAGAGCTTTTCTATATTTACACTGTTAAAACTATGACTCTTTTTACAATACATTTTATAGTGACTTAATTATTTGTATTTAATTTATGCATTTGTTGGGTTTTCACTTCTTGTGAAGCTTTCCAGCTATCTTGGGCATGAACGGAAGTGTTGCTTGCTACAAAGAACAGTCCTTTCAAAGCCACACAGACCATCAACTGTAAAAACCCGTATCATTTGGAAAGCATGTCTTTTGATACGCTTATACTTATGAAATAAACTTTAATCCCTAAAATTACTTGACAATAATTTTATGGTCTGCTCTTTCCTTGGACTAATGAGGAGTAAGTCAGAGTAACTGTCATTCTAAATCCTGGCAAGTGCAAGCACAAAATGTAGCGAAATCACCAGGTTTTCATTTGAATGGAAAGGCAACCAATTATGCTTCTCCTTTTGTGATAACAGTGACCAACTCAAAGGCCAAATTTTTTAATATCCTTCACCCATATTGGCAGAAACGGGCACCCTTCTCCTTTCTACGCTAGCGTAGAAAACAAAGAATCCCTCTGAACTTGATAAAGTTTTATATCTAAATTGCAGAATCTTTTATATCTAAATTGCAGAAAGAAGAGAAAGAACAAGCATCTCTCCTATGACACCAGTGCAACTTAGTTGCAAGCCTGTAGAAGTATTTTAGTTGCTTGTGAAAATACCTTTCTTTTTTAAGTATCTTTCCAAAATGTTTGCCTGATAAAAAAGAAAAAAAAAAAAATTACAAGATCTGTTATTCCAGAACAACTGGCTGAAGACTGGGAGTAATTTGGTAGAAAATAGGAAGGTGCTTGCCATTTAGCCAGGGGATCTAGACTGTTTTTTGTCACATGGCCTTTTCTTAAATGCCAGTTATGCTAACCAGTTGCCTCTTGGTAAACAGCGATTACTTGGAAGCAAGCAAAGAATGACAGCAGAACAGAAAAATGTTTCTTCTGTCTGCACATTTTTTACACACTCTGTTTAACCCCAGGCAGAAGGAGATGTACTCATGGTACCCACACCAGCTCTGGGATTCCAAGTAGCAATGAGGAACAGTTTGGTCTTTGTAAATCAAGGGAAAATTAGCATCAGCCTCACAACTACCAGGGAACCCTTCCTTTCGCTACTACACTGCTCTCCAGGCTGAAGCAAAAATTACAGATTCATATCCCCCTGCTCAAAGACTCATACAGCCTCAGCATTTGTATTTATGGCTCTGAACATCTGCATCAACTGGGAAACGCATCATTGCTGTCAACGAAATATGATTTAAGGGCATCTAGATTAGTCTGAACGGGTGAATTGCTTTTGCAGTTCTTCTGTTTCTTTCACAGTCTTGTGCCTGTTAGTCTCTCCTTCCTGAACTGGCAAGGATATCTTCTTGTCATTAATAATTCAACCCCTACTATCTTTCCATTGCCCCATATTTTCCCCCTTGAAATCTGTTACAATGGGGAGTGAGAGTTACATGGTGCATTGTTAGTGAGACACTGCATGGATACTTGTCCATAGGTTGCAAAACAAGCTAAATTGCAAATAGAACAAAACATGCAGATGGGTATTTTGCTGGCATTTGAACTACAAAGAGAAAAAAAAAATCTGAAAATACTGTTAACTGTTAGCATTATATATGTTTATTTATTGATACCTTTGCTTTTTACTAATTTGCAAATAAATACCTACTTGTCTGCCTTTAATTACTGTATGCCTCTTTCTCCCTTGATAGTCAACAACTTCCACACTATCCAGATACACATCAACCCAGTACACATATTTATTGATGAGATCTAGTGCAAGAGCAGTTGGCTGTTCAATTCTAGAGTCTACTATCCACGTCCTGTTCATTCCATCCATGTCACATCTCTCAACTTTGGCAGCATTCCCGTAGTCCGTGAAGAAAAGCTTTCTGTTGAAAGAAAATAAGATGTTGTAAGTTTTAAAAGGTGTGAGCAGAGTGCAAAGCTCCTGGTGCCTCTGTGCAAAGTAGGTTTTTGTTCATTGTTTCAGGGGGTTCTATCAATAACCCATAGAACCCATATTGATAATCATATAATTACCAAAAAAAAAAATCACCATATCTTCTAACAAATTCACAATTACACAGAATTTTCTTTCAAATGGAATGTACAGAAGTTCTAAGCACATTTTCTTACATCACAGATATACCACGTAATATTTGTCTTTTAAATGGATGGTATTCATAAATACAGAATCTACGTTACAACCTTAAATATCTCTTTAACCACTATTTATAAAAAAGTGGCAAGACAGTTACAAACAACAGAGTGGCAAAACCACAGAGCACTTACATGGTTTGGAGAACAATTCATTGCATATAAGGTAAAACAAATACAGTGGTCCACACTGTCAGGTTTTTGAAAATATGTTTCTAAAGAAGATGCTTTAGACTGTAGTGCATTAGTATCTGGTCTTGGAAGGATGTTCAGGCTTTAAAAGGTTTCCACAAATCCAATGCATCATTCCATCCAAGAATAATGGGAGGCTATTGAAGACTTAAAATTGCTCCTAAAGCTTCCTAACCCAATACTTGATTAGCATTCACTGGGTTTAGTACACACAGATCAATTTTTATTTACCTGACAATATTTTAACAAGATTACCTATTTGTGAGACTAAATTACACTTCCAATCTGAAGACCACCTTGCCGTGTCTTTAACATGTTATAAAGAATAATCTGATTCCAAACTGAGTGTAGCTAAAACTACTTGAAGAATCAGGATTTCATTTTCCAAATGAAGTGAATTATCTCCTAGTTATTACCACTAATGGGAATAACACTGGATGAACAGCATATAAACCTCGAGGTACCTTTATGTTAAAGAGCAGTAATTTATAGTCTTGTAACCTCTCAGAAATTCAGCATTGTAATATTTTTTTAGATTGGAAAGAATACATGTTTGCTAAGTAACCAAATGAGACCCATATGCTTTATTATTACCATCTTCAAATAAGAAGAATACATTTAAAATGTAGTTAAGGTGTTTCAAATGCAAAATAAGTAAATTAAATATCATTATAAGTATTGAAGGCAGTAGAATTGTCTATGGTATAGGCATAGCAGCTGTCAAATGTGTCAAATGTCAAAATGAATTGATCACGGAATCATAAAATAGGGCTTGAAGAGAACTTGAAAGGTCATGTAGTCCATCACGAGGCCATAAGGCAGAATAAACTTTACCTATAATATTCCTGAGGGATAACTCTGTTCCTGACAGGGATTTCTATTTATCAAAATAATTTTGAATTCCTGTCTTGTCCTTCATTGTCATTCTGTATGCCAGCTGTACTTTAAGAACATTATAAAAACCACATGCTTAACATTCAGGTTCATATAAATCAAAACGTGCATATCACAGATGATGTGCAAAGTAAAAGTTATGTCTGCAAAGCAAATATTTAATTTGGAATGAAAACAGCCAAAGAACTGTGTGCATATGTATGTGTATACACATATATATATGCATATATGTATTTCATCAGCAATAACAAGGCCAACACCTATTACATTTAAAATCAGTCGTTAAAACGTTACATGTACTCTCGTCTACAATCTGTACTTCTGAGGATTTGATTTAGGTTATTTAATGGAACTTTGTATCTCAAGATTCAAAAATTCAAGCCAAAGCTCATTTCGCAACCATAGAACCAAACGGGTTGTGAAGTGATCAGGCAACCCCACCCACACCCGCCTGTGTGCGTATATAAATATATACATAAATAAATACACACACACAGCAGCTAGAGACCCGGAGCTTGACTTCAGACTGACTCTACTTGATTGCTTACTGTCCAGCATTCTTATACAAGACTTCACATTTCTACGTGGTATCACAAAACAGACTAATACACAAGTTAGGAATAATAATTTGCCTTTACAACTATATTCTCCTTTTAGATCAGACAAGAAATAAAATGTTAGTATGTCAAAAACAAGTAGATACAGTAAAGAGTATCTAATTTAAGATGTTTCTCCAGCTTTCAGGGATAAGAGGTCACTTCTCGGTTTTCTAAATGTCTGTTTTACATTACCATCGTTTGTGCAAAGGAAGCTAGCGTGACTTCATGTGTAAATGACATACTTTTCATTTTAAAAATAATTACTCTTCTCCTGGAGACTGACTATAATAAAACTTTATCTTTTAATGTAGAGGCAAAAGAGCAAGAAAGCAGTTGTGTAACTGCTGCCGTGTGATCAAAGCATACCAAAAATTAAATTAAGAAAATTAAATGCTTTACCATGTAATCTTGAAATGCAATTCTGTATTTAAAGACTAATGCAGCTTTTTAGAATGAGGTTTAATCAGAATTGTGTTTATAACACATGAAGCTGACCCACAATTACACTGTATTTCCTTTGCCTTGGGAGTTCTCAAGCATATGCTGTAGTAGTATTTATTTCAGCTCAGGACTCATTTTCTTGCTCACAAATGGCGCTGGATTTGCCTATCCATTTTCAGCAGGGGGTGGTGAAATTTTTTTATCAATTCAGTGAGCAATTTCAGCCAGAATACCGACCGCGTGCATCTCCCTGTACAGCCCAAGCGCTATGCATTAGTTCTGACCTTGAGGGACCAGCTCTAACAGGGCCAGGGAGAGCTGTGTTCATTACTGTCTTTATTTCCTGAGACTACCAATGAGGATGCTAATGGAGGCTGCTATAAAATAGTAAAAATTTGGGCACTAAATTGAATTTTATTAAGGCATGTTATCTTTTGAAAGCTACAGACTTCTTCATGCACAGAAATTCTGAATATTCTCCTACCTCTTTGAAATTGCACAAACCCCATGTTCTGCCCATTGTTAATCAAGAACAAAAAGGGCCATCTTCTTCATCAAGTCCAGGTGCTTGGCAGGCACCCTATACTACTTCTTTTTCAAACTTCCTAAACTCTTAAGAATACTTAGTTATTTTGACCCAATGTTCCATACAGAAGGTCTTCCAGAATGGCTTCATTGTTGTTCCAACACTTCGGAACCTACACCTAATAACTAACGATGATATCTTCAAGGCTAAATTACACCTATGATTTCTGCAGCACACGTCTTTGGCTTAAACAGTTCTTTTCACCTCTCTCCCCCTCCAAAGGTATTTCTAGATGGCAATCAAATCCTTTCACTCTCTTCCTAGCAGCTAGAGATAAGCCAAGGAAGCCGATCTCTCTCATCTAATAAGACAAGGTCTTTATATTGCCCTTCTATGCAGTTATCCCAATTTTAGGTCATGGTCAGCGCTGGATGCGCTGTTCCAGAGAGGAGTTTGCCGGTGTCTGTACAATGGCAATGTAACTTCCCTGCATCAGCTGGAGACTCAGCCACCACTGGATGACATTTGCTGTTTTCACAGCTCTATTACACTGCTGATTTACAGTCATCCTCTCACCAGTATTACATACATCCTCCTCCCTCTGCTGATTTCCCAGGGTTTAGCTGACTTTCTCTAGTCTATGAAATACAACCCATTTTATAAACTTAACAACTTAGTCTTAAAAAGTTATGGTTGGAGTTTTTCCAACAAGAGTTTGGTTTCAACTAGGAAGACACAGGGAACATTCCCTCCACATCTGAGCAACGAAATCTCTAACATTTTAAATGACCCTCAACTGACAAACCCACCGACTACAAACACCAGTAAAGTCATGTTACCAAATAAAACAAATGCCAGAGAAGAACGCTATCACAAGACAAAAGCGACAGTGACCTTCCCAGTCCCTTTTCTCATACCAGCAATGACAGATTCATCTTTCCCTCGTTATCAGGCCCTGAAAACACATAAGGAGGGCCTCAGAAGGCCTGCTGTTCTTTCCCAACAGAATACATCTGTCCTCGATAGAAACCTCCTTTCAGACCCAGATAGTCACTGCCTTAGTTCAGCCACCATCACTATGTGCCTCCCCCATCACCACTGGTTTTGTCCAGCAGCTTCTCCCTCATCGCTTCCTTTTGTTTCCAAGCATTCAGTCAACACATCCATAAGCCACCTATTTAATTAGCTGAGAAAGAAAGCTGTTTCCCTTGTAAAGCTACATTTGGATGATTGAAAACTCTTCATTTCTGACACACCTATGAAGCCAAACACTGTATAGCACAATCAGACTTTGGGGGGGGGGGGGGGAGGGGGGGGGGAACACCCAATCCAT